CTGGGTACAAATTACTGTTTTGCATCGATCAAAACAAGATCAAATTGTGATCAAAATTATATATATTACGCTAATATTGCTGTCAACAATACATGAGCATTATTTAGAATTTGGTAAAGGTTTATTCCTGTATAAAATATGGGCAAAACAGGAGCAAGTGCTGTTATTTTGCCAATGCCAATACATAGGAAATAAGCATGGTATTGGGTCTAGGTTAATTGTGGAAATATATAATATAATGCATCCATTAACAACATCATATTGCCAACAGGTTGCTGTTGTTTTATTGCTGGCACATCTTAGACTTTCATTATCATTTTGGGGCAGACAAAAGCTTGACACACAAAAATCAAATCATAATGTTACCAGTAGCATAATGTGATCAAACTGCCACAAGCAGATTTGAGATTTTATGAAGACAGATATTTACCAATACGTGAGAGAGAAAATGACAAAACCTTGACAAAATCTCATCAAACAGTATATATTACTTTCAGTCTGCAAATGGTAATATGTTATTGATATCCAAGTTATACATGGAATACTGCACTGTGGTATATCCTCACTGAATGTAGTGTATTGGTAGTGTTAGTATAGGATATATCTGCAACATCCTACCTATAACAAAATCTTGTTAATATTTATAATTGGGAGGAGGGTTTTGATTATGACACTGCATTGACATGAGGTTATATTCTGAGAAAGGCCACAGTAGTAATATAGTTAACCTATTGACAAAAACACATAGAAGATCATTAGTAAAGTATTGAGTCTACCAAATTTTGTTGTTCTGTAAATGTTTTGGATACGGTAAATTGTAACCAGTGTTCTATCCATACTCTTTCATTGGCTTTAGGAGTAATATTGACCAAAAGCACAACCTTGAACATTATTGGCTGCAAACTATTCATTTAAGCTAATGAGGTGTTATTAAGGTTTAATTTGAAAAGCTATTGGATTGAATATGGATAGAACACTGGTTACAATTTACCGTATCCAAAACATTT